ATGTGTTTGGACGTAGAAAAGAGTTGTCATGATTAAAATCCTCAGGGTCAAGTCAAATTTCTTATTTTGAAGATGACAAAAAAGTGTTTTGATCATTTCTTGAAGACCAAATTTTAAGAATTATTTTTTTTTTAAAAGGGGGGATTTTAGACACTTTTTGGAAGGTTATGAATATTTTTAGAAAATTACATAAAAATACATAAAAACTAAATTTTTGTTGTGTGGGAGAGGGGGTGGGATATAGTTCCGCAAGGGAGTGATTTGGGCCTAAAATTGTTTTGATGAGAGCTGTATTGAAGGAATAGGATGGAAAACTACGTTAATGAGAAAAATACACAAAATGAACAGTTTTATTCAAGACTGACATTCCGTAACTACATGTATTGGCTTGTTAATTGCTGGATATATTTTCAATCTATAACACACACGTTCAACACAAAACACCTGTTATTGTGCGGAGCAGTCTGTGGGTTACCATGGTAACCGAGTAACAAAATTTGTCATCGCCGTTAAATATTAATGGGCCGTGCAATTTATGGACACATGAATTGCTACGGTTGGTCGACCCCACTTACCAGACTAATTGCTTGGGTTCGATACAAAGAGTTACTGGTAACGAGCGCGAAGCAATTTGGCGTAGGTGCTTGAGGATATGGATGACTGGTCTTCAGTAGCAGGGGAAGATGCAGCTGTGCTACATGTTCATATAAGCGCAGGATGATATTCAATGAAAAGAAATAGTTCTAGTCATTCAATCATCATTTGCTCCCACTACGGACAAGTGTTTTGTTCAAAACAGACTAATTGAGTATGATGGAGATAAATATGGCATACGCATGAAAAGTCACATTACGATAATTGCTTGAAGGACATTTGTCAATGTGGCCGTCAGACGAGCACAATGGAACACAGAGTGGGGATATTGGCAGCACGCTGACAGACGAGATAACAAAGGACACCTTTGTAACGGGGAAGGGGTTTTAATGACGGAACGTGTGTGCAATTGACAACTGCTGTAGACTTTGGAAATAGTCATAGAACAGCAATGGCGAGGCACCGCTTGTAGTGTTGAGGTTTCACTAGTTTTCAAAATACAGTGGCTGTGATACCTTGAAGAAACATCTGTCAAACAGCAACGCTTTGAGGATGTTACAGAGGCTGAGCAACTATCGCCTTGTGTGCAATTGACATTTAATGTAGGCTTTCGAAATACTGGTATAACAGCATTGGTGAGGCAAAAATTTGAAACGGTGCGACTCACTTCTATACTCCAAACTGTGCATGCATCATATTGAAGAAACAACAGTTAAAAAGCAAAGTTGGAATTGCAGGATTTGCCATGGGGAATGATACAGATGATGAGCCACTGTCGCCGTACCTTGTCGCCGTACGAACATGTTTTGTTGCCGTAGTTGTCATCATGATTATAACCGGCAATGCTTTGTCCATCGCGGTAACTCGCAGCATGCCCGGGCTTGCTGACAGCACCAAAATATTGATGATATCGCTGGCAGCATATGATCTGCTGACTGGGGTTATGTCCATACCAAACGTGATCGCGTCAGCGTTTGACCGCTGGCCGTTTGGAGAGTTCTACTGCTCCATCAATGGAACCATAGACGCTACCTGTTGTTGTATGTCCATCACTCTTATTGTACTTATGAACGCAGAGAGATATATTGCTGTGACCCTGCCTTTCAGGTTCCCAATTCTCTGCGCAAAAACGACGCGTAATCGCCGTCGTCTCATCGCCTCGGCTGTATCTCTGGTCCTTCAAATCTGCTTGAGTTACTTCAAAGAGGACAATAATCAGTTTAAGGCTGTGTTGATTTGTGACGTGGTATTCAATGGCACTGTTTTTAGAGATTTCGTTTTATTCTTCCTTTGTCATACTCCCCTTGTGGTGCTGACGTACATTTACCTGCGGTTGATCAAACTCAGTCAGAATCATGCCGTGATGCTGAACAAGTGCAACAACGCCGGCAAACGACACCAGTTTCCTTGACAACAAAGCTCTCCGCCGTTCTCGTCGTGACTATTCTCTTCGCAGTGTGCTGGACGCCTTTGCGGGTTGTACGCGTCGTCGCAGCAATCACAGACAAAATGCAACCATCTGGCTAAGTTTTACCGCCAAGGGCTTCGCGGTCTCTAACAGCTTCTTCAACGTGTTCATCTATTGTTTCTTCAACCGTCATTTCGGCAAGCCGCTAAGCGACTGATGATGCGTTATTTTCCGTGTTTCAAAAGCTCCACCGTCGCACCAATGACCACGCCCATTCTCAAAGATGACACACCTCAACCAGCGGTGCGTCGGAAAGGCAGAGCAGCGTTCATTTCTGTGGAGCTCTGACTAAAGGGAAATATTGGTGTACAATATGACAACGACTTAGCTCTCTCTAACATGAACACTAATGGAAACATGTACTGTCTGAAGTTAAAAACTGAAACAGGTACCGGCGCGGTACAGAAGCAGAGCTTCAAAATGTTTGTACTTTATCTGTATGTAAAATGTCAGTGATATGAATTGTAGGAAAAAAATAAATAGGCCCTTTCGAACAAACAAAAGTTGGTTTTCCAGATAAAAAAAAAAATAATTGAATGTAAAATTAGAAACATAGAGAGGAAAACAACAACTGAAAAGAGGATTTATATTTTTTTTACAGACAATTAAAGATATTACTTATTACATCTGGTCACAAATTGGAACAAAAGACATTTGCATGACTTTCTTTCTTGAATGCCTACACGTACATGTTGTTTGAAATCAGATCTCAACCGAAACGAACAACCAAATAAAGAATTGACAAGAATCAAGACGAGTAAAATTAGAGTTTTATTTAGAGATATATATAAGATATCTTTAAAAGGTGTTGAAATAAACATTATTATTTACACAGAATTGTCATCTCATTGTCAATTTTAATGACTGCTACTAATCATGCTAATTGACACATTACATTATCTCATCCTCTGACAAAAAAATGCTAGGTCATTTCAAAAAATTACTGGCAAAAACTCCCACCGAGTTTAGGGTTTGTATCAAAACCGGGTACCCGAGTACCCGACTGCTGATCATGGGCGTCGCCAGGATTTTTTCTAGAGGGGGGCAAAATTTGTTTTGCCAAAAATGTTTGTATTTCTCAACACATTCTCGATTTATCAATTTTAGAGGGGGCAGGGACATTTTGCCCCCCCCCCCAACTCATAAAATTTACACCACTTTGTCCTTCGCGCCTCTTTTTCTTTTCTTTTTTTCTTTTCTTTTCTTCCTTTTTTTTTTTTTTTTTGCTTTTCCAGGGGGGGGGGGCAAGTGCCCCCCCCCTTGCCCCCCCTCGCGACGCCCATGCTGCTGATGTCAAGAACTGGTTCCAGATTATGGGATCGGGTACCCGTAACCAACTTTACATATTACTAAGTAACTTCTCAGACAATGAAAAGGAAAGGTTCGAATGCCATTGGTGGGAAGTTTCAAAATGAAAACCAGGCTACATGGAAAACCAAAATAGATTCCACATTTATGTGCATTTTACCGCACGACAGATGACGCTTGCCAAAGTTGCAGTTTACATCGTAAAGCTATAAAGCCCATGCAGACAACTCCCGGGATTTGAATTTTGGGTTAGGTTCTTTTACGGGTACCGGGGACCCATGTTTTACTTCGATAGGGTACCCAGTTCCAATACTATCCTTAAATGCACACAGCAAATGAATTAGAGTTGAGATTTATGCTAAGTTTAAATAAGGAAAGTGTGCGACAAGTATTAGGCAAAGAAGAAAAAAAATGCTAAAAATGTCAGTTACAGAAATTCTTCACTCAATGAAATCTATGATCATCTTCAGGTGGGTTCTGAAACTGCTTTATTTCCTGTATCTTGGTAACGACAGTGAGGGCGCTCCAACAAAAGGTGCTGTGGCACTTCAATTAACCTAACTCCCTAGGCCTTTTTGTTAGGACGTAGCCTCAATCCTGCAAAATCTTCCAATTGGCTTCATGGGAAATAGCATATATACATGTAGCCTCATCCTGCAAATTCCTCCATTATTTCTTGAATATGGTCCGTGGAGGGGTGACCACTGCCTGAATCCTGCAAAATCCTGCGGCAGTGACTGACAATATGTTGAAGCTTGGCCAGTGACATTCTGGAGCAGTACGCTGGATTTCAAGCATAATCCAGGCCTATGTTTATGCATGGCTGAGCAAAAACAGCACAAGGTCTGGCCCAAGACCATGACAAAGTGCATCCTATGAAATCAGTATCGCACTTTTAAAATGTAAGCTCAATCCTCCAAATTCCTCCACTTTGGCAGAAAGAATTTGAAGGATTCAGGGCGGTTAGGGTTAAATACTGTTTTTTTAAGTCAAAGAGGTACCGGTAGGCTGGACATGGTAGAATGGCATTATTAACCCTCCTTTGCAAACATTCATTCTGTGCCAAGTTGTCCTTTCAGTCAAACTCAATCAAGTGACTATTTTCAACAGTTAAGAGCTCCCAGCCTACATGAAGCAGGATTGACTGGCTGTGACTGTTTATGTAACTTCATACAGCTATGCTTTGACTGTAGGAGATTGATGAGCCAGCTGTGCCTACCACTTGCCTGCTTTTGTCTGTTGACTGAATTTGACTAGTCATAGTGCTTGCTTGAAATATGATCTGACTGTTGGTGACTAGCCTGTGTAAAAGGTATGGCAGGGAGAGGATTGTTGTTTTTTTTTACTGTCTGTGACTGTTCAGACAGCAGGAGGGTTTTTAAAGTCATGTGAGATGTTTAATAGAAAAAGCTAGTATAATACGTGTTTGCTGAGTAGGAAACAGAGGACTTTTTCCCGATGCTGTCAGAAGACTTTCCATCTCTCAATGAGAGCCTTCATCAGATTGAGCAACTTGCTGAAAGACTTTTTATTCTTGCGTGTCTATACGATGTGATCAAATTTAGGTCAATACTGGCATGACAGAAGTCTGGCAGCAGCCAAATCTCTCCGCGAGCATCTTCTTAGCAGCGAGCTTGAAGGAACGATTGAAGAAGAAGTAAATGAAGACATTACAGAAGCTGTTGGCGACAGAGAGCCAGCTGACCAGAAAGTCGATCCACGCCGGCAGGGATATTGCTCTTGAGGCTTGGAGGGTTCTGGCTACTGTTACTGGCAGCCAGCAAGCCGTGAAGGTGACAGTGATGATCAAGAACGTCCGAATGGCCTTGTTGTCCAAAAATCCACGTTTGGCATCCTCAGGCTTATTCGATTCAGCCGTTGAACGTGATCTTTGCTTATCTGGATCAGTCGGCGGTAGATGGTTGTTTGAATGATAAGGGGCAACATGAAACAGGTGCAGAGCGTGGTGAGTTCGATGACTAGCTTACGTACCTGCTGGTGCATATCACAGATGCAGAATGGAACACTATCGGCACGTTGAAGATTTTCAGCATCCCTATGATGCTTGCAAAAGTCAAGCCAAAGTTTATCAGCAAACCAGTTATGAGCTTTCTCTGTGTGAAGATGGCCTCGAAGCGGTATGGTCTGGTAACTGCTATGTAGCGCTCGAAATTATGTTGAGCATCACAATAATGGACATGATACACGAGGTGCCGAACAAGTATCCGTTGATCTTGCAGAATGTTTGTCCGAAGGGCCAACGCTCCAGAGACGATGCGAGAATGCTGGGTAGCGCCATCATCCCAACGAGGAGGTCATTGAGTGCCATAGCAATCATCAGAACCGAGTGCTCTGTGGTATGTCAGAGATGCGCAGCGTCACGGCAACGGAAAACAAATTCCCTAGGATGATTGTAATGTCACTACGGCGATGACTGAAGTGCGCAAAATGATGGCAATTAATGATAGTTCCATTGCATCCTCAGGCAAACTTGACTGTGTTGAATTGCAGATGAGAAATCCTTCTTCCGTACTTGAAAAATTTGAGCTTGCATTCATCATGATCAAATCAATATATGCTCACATTCTCATGAAAGTAATCGCAAGTGAGTACTTGTTCACGTAGTTGGTACCACTTTGATGTGTTGTTTACTTTACATAGACTGTTAAAATTTGGCCTGTCCCAACTGTGTGCTACACCCAGGCACTAATTGTACATCCTTAACCACTTCGCGCCGGGATTACTTTTGCCGAAAATTTTGATTTTCACAAAAGGCAAAAAATTCCAGCCAGTTCTGATATACAGCCAAACGCCAAGTGTTCGCAAGAGTCATTTTAACAGTACCGGTATTTGTACCATATTTCTTGCCGAAACCTCTTATGTTTCAATACTTCGAGGTGTGCACTGGAGCATAAATTGTCGAACAAATGGGCCGTGCACAACGGCCAATACAAGATCAACACACGGTCCGCCTCCACAGACTTCCGGACTTTGTGTGTGTGTACAAAAGAGCACGAGGGATTAGCGTGGTTTAGACGTCACCCGGAGGCTAGTCGAGGCAATGTTGATGTTTAAACCCGTCAGCCGTGCCTGTGTATAAATACAGCCAGTGCATGTTATCACATCCTCCAACCTGAACTGGTTAACTCTGTAAGTATGTCAAGACTCAAAGCAGTTCATCCAGTATGGTTGTTGTTCTACAGTCCCAGTCACAACTGCGTATGATCAGCAATTGATCGATTGTTGGAGACCTCCGTCCCAACTCACTAACAAGTGCAGGTGTTTACTGGCGGGATGAATTATTAAACAACGACAAGATGAAAGGTGTTGCAGAAGCTGTGACCAGCCAAGACCTAGCTGACCAGAAACTCCGAGCAGTCGACAGCAATGTCATTGCAAACGCACACATAGACCGTTCTCACGACACACTGCCAATGTCCCAGGTATAATGCGGAATGTCCATAGGTCTCACAGTCAACAAATTTCGCTTGCATCATCTGGCCTATTTCTGTTTAAGTTTTATACATGATCTTTGCATATTTTTATCACCTCCGGCAGATAGTAGTTTGAGCCTGTGTTTACGAATCAATTACTAAGGCAGAATGCGTCTCATGCTTTTTTTTTAGGTGGAATGGTTATTTTGTATTTACTGAAGTAATGTGTTACCCTGAAAGAGCACTCAAGCATCATTTATTTTGGAGGAAAACCAGGCTGTTTCCGGTCTTTATGGGGCTCGAATCTAATCAGACACTTTGAGCGATCATGCTAACCTTTCACATCCAAGGATTTGCACACCATCCTATTGACGTTTGCAATAGTCTCTTATTATTGCTCTATTTATTAAAGGTAGGGTATAGTACTGATGATCAATAACATCTTTAATTCAATTCTCTCCCTTTGCTTTTCAATTGTTGTGGCTTCAAAAGATGGGGAAGACATTTGAGGTCAGAAATAAACAATTTTCTTTTTCCTTTTTTCACTCACATTGATGAGGCTTTTCTGTGACTTTTGACTTCGAGTCAAACATGTGGTGGATGGTTTTAGTTTGATGGAGTAGAGGCTATTTTGGTTTGGCCTGTTGTTTCAAGCCATTTATAGGACGTAGGTTTTACGAAAACTTAAATCATCCACATTTTGACAGATAATATTTCATCTTTTTTTGGCAGATAATTACCATGTCACTTCTCAGAACTTAGAAAGTGGTGTATTATTCCACCTTTTTAACCAGTTCGCTCCGAGATTATTTTGACAAGAACGGAATGAAGCGCGGGATTATTTTTTCTGTGGCACAGAATGCAGCTGTGTTTTGCTGGCAGTTTAAAACACCCACTTGATGGGCTTTGACCAATAGAAATTGGTAAAATGTCTCAGGTATTTATCAATCTTCTTTTATTTCAATGATTTTTTTATCTTTTATAAAATCAGTGGGTTTACTTTTGTAAAAGTTTTACAAGCAACCAAAATTTTAAAGTGAAGCAACAAAGTGGATAAAAAAAATAATAGTAAAAATGTTCAGGAGATGGTCCACCAATCCTAGTTAAGGGGAGAAGTAATGGTCGGGTGGGACAAAAATCAGGATTGTTTAAATAATATTCAGTTTGAATTTGAATATTCGGTTAGGGTATTGGAAACTGGATATATTCTAATTAAATTGTGAGCCCCATAAAGACAGCAACAGCCTAAATTCTTAGGCAAACCACCTGTCAGTACTCTTTGGCCGTTTATTAATACAAATAGCCATTCCACCTACCAAAAAGCTTTGATACACACTTGACCTTATTTAATTGAAACTCAGACCAAAAAGGACCGAAGCCAAGAAGAAAAGATCACACTCAACAATTGAACCGAAACAAGGTCTGAAGAAGCCAGGCATGAATTTCTGGATAGTAAGACATAGTGGATATTCCTGATCATTGTCAACCTTATGGCATGAACGGCTTGTTAGCTGCCAGTGACTGCACCAAGATCTATCCAACCTCCACAAAGACATCGCTTTCAACTTTTGTTAATTTTTTTTGGGGGGGGAGGGAGGTTGATTACAACGGAGAGAGATTAGGCTGCTGCCAGAGTTCTGTCATGCCAGTAATCAATTAAATTCATCACATTGCATTTGTTAGGTGATTCCTAACAGACGTAACTACTTACTCTTTCTTGCAAATCTCAACGGCATCGTCGCTAATGTTCTTCAGGTTAACCAGCTTGGTGCCTCGGTAAACTCCATCTGTCAAGGAATAGCCAATAAACGTTTACTGCAATGGACATGTCAAAGGATAGAAAACTCAAGTCGGGAATGTTTTGACCACTGATCTCTATATAAAGACTGGATAGTGGATATGCATACAACATTCATACAGTAGACTTTGCATATTGACCAATTCGCCCCCGGTCTCACGAAGATGGCCGCGTATAATACGAACGTTCTGCGCGTAAATACGCGCGCGTTGTATCAACAGTTGACGCGCATTTTGGTCACGTACACATATTATGATGTTCTAAAAGGGACACATTCCGTAGTGATTATTATTTCAAAATGCTGAAAAAGTTATATTTGCGGCATTTTAGTAACCACGACGTTAGAAAAATTGTAGTTAACCTTGGTCAGTGGTGGTGGTCAAAATATAAGTCAAGTGAACTGCGACGTTACAAAAGAAATCATGCTGTCTATCTAAAAACGGCAACTTGTCCTTTGTAGATCACCAGCCGGTCTCACAATATGGCGTCAAATTCGTTCATTGTGCGGCTCTTTATTAGCTATCCAGTCTTTATATAGATCAGTGGTTTTGACAGACTTCTACACTGGCATGTACTGCAATAGACCTAAGACAAAATGACTTCACACTTCGTTTACATGTGTGCTTTCCTATGGGAGCCAGATGGGAAAGCGAACATGTGAACAAAACGTGACATCATTTTGTCTTGGGTCTATTCTTTGACTTTGATTTTAGGCTTGAATAAAGATTACTTCAGAATCTAGAAGAACAGTGATTCTTTATGAATATAATGTTAGAGCTGTGAAATATATTTTGGCCAGGTACCCCTTCGATTGATACAGAGGGAGAGTGGGGGGGGACTGGGAGGGACATTCAAACGCATTAAAGTTGACGTCTAACGCTCATGCGAAGACGCAAGTGTTTGTGCACACTCAGAATAGATAAGCCATGTGTACTTCACACCATACATGTATATGTGAGGACCAGTAGAAGCAGTGAATCCCTCTCAATAGAGTTTTCAAAACTGATAAAAAAACGTCATTTACTGTTTGTGCA